CGAAGGTTGATGGTGGTCGTCGAAAAATTGTTGCTGGTCGGTGGTGGCCTACAGTGATCGATGGTAGTTGTGGTATTATAAGGTGATAGGAGAAAAAGCTAGCAGTTTAGGGCATCTTTCTCACATTTTCTTAATATTTTGAACTTTGTCCTTAATGAATAAAAACCTTTTAACTTGTCCTTTTGACAATATAATTTGAGATTGGGAGACTTCTCAACAAAACCCCCTATATATGCTTCATTTGAGGGTTGTGTGACAATTTTCATTAGGTAATTTATCACTAAATTAATGAAAGGATCCTATTATGACTTGATTAAAAATATAAATGATAAACTGTGTAGCTCAGCTTTTTTATGCCCCCTTTTGGAAGGTTTGAAAGAAAACCCTACAATTCAAACTCCCCGTGGTTCTGAATCTAATCTCACAAGTGCAATGTGAAACTGATAAACACCAAAGAGTCCAAATCCAACAAATCGTTTTGGAAAATTGATTTTAGGAAAAAAATGCCAAAATTGGACTGTTTTGCCAGATACAGAGTCGTTACCTAAATATTTTATTTTTGGAGAAATTTAGGAAACCCATGACTCGTGCCAAATGGCATGTGTCCGTCATCACCAAAGTTGCATCGGCTCGAGAACTTAGGTACGAGAGGGGAAGGTCATGAATTGAGCACCCCCACTCGCCCGATCAAAGATCGGCCTCTACTAATCATGATATGATATTTTATAAACATTATGTGCTCTTATTCTGGTTATTAAGCTAGCTTTACTATGTGATGCGCACAAGCAAGTATAGGCTAGTTTGCTCAATTTGGAACAATTCGACTCATGCTTGTTTGCGAAAATAGTTTGAATTTGCCACCTCAAGTGGGCTTAAAGTTTGCAAATTTGCCACCAAACATAGTGGGCTTAAAACGCATATTCGTTGAATTGTTCCAATTCAAACAACGAGCCTTCATCCACAAGCATTCATGCAGTTTAGCATTTAAGCATATAGCCTCATAGCAAGCATGCTAATCATGGTAATATTCACACTTATGCAAGTATGCTAAAGCATAAAGACTCACCTAGTACTCCAAGCCAAGAAGATATGAGTTAGAAAATAATACATGATTCCTAACTATACAAAGTGTCTAATGCAACCCATGCAATATGTAATTTAATAGGCTCGGCTACTAATGTGGCATATAAATCGATTTAAGCAACATGTGATTTAACACGTATTCAAATAAGGTATTAAAACAACAATGCAGTTTGAATGATGCGCCTCAGTGCATGCAATACGAATGAATGGATGCAGGCATAAGATATGCTAATTGAAACGTGACCCTAATCTAACCATCAAAAGCGGGCATAAAAAAGGGACAAAAACGCGGGGTTGGAAGACATACACGCGCACGCACGCACACTTATTACAACATTACGCCCTCGCGAAGGAGGGTCTGAATGAATAAGCTAACCAACTAACTACGCTAATTAAGCTAACTAATACAAAACTATAGAATTAATTAACTATTCTAGTTAACTAATTACAAAATGAAATTGAATAACTAGTTAAACAAACTAATTATTTACAACACTTAATTAGTTATAACTAATTAATTACAACACATATTTGATCTATTGCTAATTAAACTAATTAGCTAATCCCGAGAAGTGAGGGAGGCCCATGCATGCTTGGTTTCCACCCGAAAAGCCACTACCTTGCTACTAAATGCCTCTGTTTGCACATTTGAGCACCAACAATGCTACCCACTTCCAGAACACCTCTGGTCCACCTTACTAACAAACTGTGCAAATTTCACTGATGGCCGACATGGGGTCGATCGGCTACCAATGGTGGCCGGTCGACTACCACTAGTGGCCGATCGACTACTGGTGGTTGCTGTCGGCCACTAATAGTATGGTATTCCTTGCTGCAACAGAGAGCAAACAGAGCAAAACAGTGTATTTCTCAAGGGTTGTTTGCACACTTTGCCTCTCCTTTTCATGGGGAAGTCAAATGAAGGACAAAATTTGGTTCATAAACTATCAATCAAACAATTTCATTGCATGATGGCTTGTGAAACCAATTATGCAAGTTTAACAAATACAAAATGAGACCAAAATGACCATCACCCTATCATGCATGATCAAGGGCAATGGAGGCCTAGGAAAATGGCACATTTCATCACTTTTGAGTATAAAATGTCTCATTTTCCTTGTGTTCAAATTAATGTCCGAACACATGTAATGCAACACAAAGGAATGCTTATCTTGCCACTTTTACTTGCCAATTTTGTTTACACATTTTGGTTATCAAATCATTCATTAATCAATTTGTCCATTGGTGAATGTCTTCTAAAGTGAAAGAAGTGTCCACCAAGGGATAGTTTAAGGCATGAGAGAAGCTTCATGCTGTTGGTAATGAACCCTCAAAGGAGAATTAAACAATTAAGCACGAGCCTCAATCTCAAGCTTAAACAACCCTAAGGTTGAAACAACCCTCAAGGCAAATGAAAAAGTGAAGAAATGAGGGAGATTGCAGAGACTATAAGTGCTGGAATTGGGTGAGAAAAAGCACTAAAACATGCAATCAACTCAAACCAATGGTGGTTAAAGCCTTAAAACACCAAGCCAGTGAAAGGGCTTACACTACAACTATGCAATACAAGACTCAAAAGACTTAACCAGCCAAAAACAGAGTTACAACAGTCCAAAAAAAGAGCCTAAATCATGTTGGAATTAAGCTACAAATTGCTAGAAAAATAGGCACACATAAAGCTATCTAGGCTAGCAAACAAGACACAAGGAGAGGAGTCTAACCCCTCCTATTTTGAACTTCAAAACATGATTTTTACTACTGAAAATACTCTGAGAATCAGTGTTTAAAAGCTTGAGAAAAGATAGTAAAAGGGATGGGAAACACAAGGGCAAAAGCCTTCAAAACAAGGTACAAAAAAAGGCTATCAACCCCTCAACCTTTAATGGCCTCAGGACCCAAGCTTCAGCCCCAAAACACAGAGTTTTTATAGCCCAAAATTAGTTGGAAAACATGCTGGAATGAAGACAAAAGTAGCTAAAACAATAAGCTAAAACATGGAGCTTTTGAGCTAGTAAACAAGTGTAAAGAGGGGTGGCTAACCCCTCCATTTTTGGAACCTCAAAACAACATCTTTAGCCTCTAAAAACCTCTGAAAATCAATGGTAAAAAGCTTTTAAAAGGTTGATGAAGAGATGGGAAACACAAGGGTAAAGGCTTAAAGAACAAGGTTCAAAGAAAGGTGATTAACCCCTCAACCTTTAATAGCCTTAAACCACTAGCTTCAGCCCATAACAATAGTTGAAAAACACTTCTAAATCAGTAAGAAAGGATAGAAAAGAAGTGGTGCAAAGATGTTCAAAATTTTACCTCTTGAAGAGAAATAACACTTTTGCTCACAAACCACAAGTCCTTCACTCTCAAAGGCTGAAATTTGGACTCAAGAATCTCAACAAGGAGAGCTCCAATATTGGTTTAGGAAGTGTAGAGAGAGGGTGTATAGGTTGCAAGATAGAGATAGAGAGAGAATTCCAAGTTTTGGACCTTTTGGAAATTTTTGTAACCTTAAATCAAAAGGTTTGGCCTGGTATATATAGAAAAATAGCCTAACAAGAGGAAATATCAAGCCTTGAACAGCTAGAGCTTTTGGGGGACAGCTGGCACAAAATATCTAGCTTTTTCACCATTGGCTGACAAGCCAGAAGTGTGGCCGGTCGCCCATCAAAAATTGGCTTCCAGGCCCAACTTCAAATGGGCATTTCTCCTTCATCTGAACTCCTTTGCAGGCCATTCTTGAGTCTAAATTAAATCCCCAGAAGTCTACTTTCTAGTGGAAGTGGCCACACATCAAAATTCTAAGTATGCTAAGAGATATTCTTATTTTAGTGAAGGTTGCTCAGTTTTGGCTTAACCGGATTGATGCCTAACTCCAACCAGCCATATCTCCTTTATCCGGACTCGGCTTTAGGAGATTCTTGAGTGTAAAATGAAGCCCCGAAAGTCCACTTTCAAATGGTGGTGGCCTCACAACTTAAGTCCAAGTGTAGAAAAGGATAGCCCTAATTTAGTGAGGCTACCCAGTTTTCCCTCAACGGTTTATGCCCAATTTCTTCCCCAACTAGGTTTCTTTCCTCTCCTCCAATTTTCTTCAACTCCAAACCTCTAAATAAGATATTTTAAAATATTTTTGAAAGAGTTCACCTATCTTCTATTTATTTTCACTTTGTCCTTGCTCGGTTTACCGAAAAGTGCAATTTTTAACGAAATGCAAGCTTTGGAACATCGTAAGAACATTTTTAAAAATATTTTGAAAAAGACGGTTTTAAGGTCTAAAATATTTTTGGTCCAAAATGGGGTGTAAGGTTGGGATTTAGAGCTCTTCTTGCTGAAGAAATCGAACATTTGCATGGCACAACTCTCATCATCGAGTGATCAATCAGTGGCGCCCAAGTCTTAAGGGCGGTCAAAAAATGGGGTGTCTACAGACTGTTACAATTAAAAAATTAGGAATTAAAGTGAAATTGATTTAAAGTGCAAAAATGTAATTTACCACATAAAAATTGAATCTTATTTTTACGTATTTCTATACTTTAACCTGCAATTATAACATTTTTGTTGGAGATGCTCTTACAACCTTAGTTTCATATGCTTGATCTTTCCCTCCATTTATTAGTTTTCTCTCTGTCATCAATGTGTTTCATTTTCACCGGTGTCCCACCCGCCTAATTCATTAACAAGTATGTTCATTATGCTCTGTAGAATCCTTGAACTCAACTTCATGCTTAACCACCTATTTCACTTCCGCTTTTAACACTACAAGAAAAGTTGTCTATGACGACGTTTGAATCAAAGACGTTTTATGAAACACTGTGGTATATCTCAATAGCCAACACGTTTTTCAAGGCATGATGCCTGTTGATGTTCTCAATGAGCCAAGTCTGTTTTACTTAACAGACACTTAACCCCATTCTAATTACCAAAGTAACACAATCACTCATGAGTTGCTCTTCTCTTTCGCGATTAATATCGATCTCTCTCACTATAGATGTTCTTCATTGGACTCGAACTCGATCTTTCTCACTCTAGCTGTTCTTTATCGAACTCTCTCTCTCTCTCTCTCTCTCTCTCTCTCTCTCTCTGTCTCTCACAAATTGCAGATTCGAAATCGAACAAGAAATTAGATCTAATCTGATCGAAATCCATACTCGATCTGATCTGTTCTAATCTGATCTCTCTTGCATTTTGTTAGATCTGTTCTTGCCCTAGCTTTTCTTCATCAAACTCGAACTCGATCTCTCTCACAAATTGTTGAGCCGAAATCGAACAAGAAAATCGATCTAATCTCATCAAAATCCGAACTCGATCTGATCTGATCTCTCTTGCATTTTGTTAAATCTGTTGATTAACAAGGTTTCAAGCAAATCATTTTTATTTTGTTTTTCATTAACAAGTGTTAATAGGTGTTTGATTTCTTTGTAGGTGGCGATGAGGTGTAGAGATCGGTTACATGAACTTGTAAAGGAAGAGATAGAGAAGAAGGATTCGAGTACGGAGGAGTGGAAGATCGCGATGAAGAGTAGCTTCAATCACATGGACAATGAGGTGATTGTATGGAACAACAGAGTCATTTTTTGTTCTGTCCAGATTTTTTTCTTTTCTTCCTCTTCTTCGATTCATTTTTTTTTTCTAGATTTTTTTTTGATGTTTCTTCATAGCAAACGAAGGACGAAGACAATCATTTTTCTTTCTTTTTTTTTTCCAGATTTCTGTTCTGTCCATATGTTTTTCTGTTTTGTCTAGATTTCTGTTTCCTCTTTTTTCATTTTTTTTTTCCAGATTTTTGTACTCATTGGCAGCAAACCAAGAACAAATTATTTTCATGTATTCGCATCATTTGCATTAATTTTTGTTCTTTTAGCTTTATATTAAGAGGAGAGATCGATGTAATTATGTCAAAATTGTAGCGTTTGTTGTGTTTTCTCTAAACTTAAGGGGGAGGTTAGTGTACTTTATCCTATTATTGAACATCCTCATAATTTATATCAAACTATCTTGCAACCCTTGATTTGTCCATTTTCATCTTGTAATTTATCCTATTATTGATTTGTCCATTTTCATCTTACACCTTATGACGTTTACCAATCCATGGCTGTAAGTTTGGCACTAGAAAATTTGGCTAATTTATATGATGACTCAATTACTTGCACTGTTATCCATATAACCTTTGTTTATGTTGCTGAAGAAATTATTTATAATCGGTATTTCTGATATGTTCTAGAGTTTCTTGGCCTCTTGGACCTTTTCATGTATTATATTATTGAACTTTGTTATGTGGCTGCAGGGTGAACCAAGTTTCCATCTATTTGGTTTTATAATGTGTCATGGTGCTACAGCTGCAAGGGCATTAAAGTCTCTGCTTCAAGGCATTTTGCTGTCTTCAAAAGGGTAATTAACTATTTGTCTTCACTTTTTCTCTTTAACAAAATTGTAGATATTTTGGGTCTGTTATTTTTGTTACAGATTATTTATCTGCTTCCATTACTGAAAACCCACACTATTATCTTAATTTCTTTTCTAGGGAAAAACTAAATTCTATGAACCTTCTGTTATACATGGCACCAATAGCTGTTTTGTTCTTAATTCCTGGTACATTGTTGATGGAGGAAAACATGGTTGGGATCACAATAGCTCTTGCCAGAGATGATATCAAAATAATCTTTTATTTACTCTTCAATTCTGCCTTGGCATATTGTGTGAACTTGACCAATTTCTTGGTCACCAAACACAACAGTGCTCTGGCTCTCCAGGTCTATCCCTTCGTTCTAACACAGCTTCTTTCCTGTTTTAGTTTGGCATTAGTGATATCTTAAAAGAACTGGGGACTCTTTATTTGTTATTGAAATATAAAGAAGAGGATATTTTCTACATGATGATAGAGGATATGATTATTAATTAAGGTTTTAACATAAAAATCATTAAGGAAAAACTGTAAGTTTTAACATTGATAATTCCTTGTAATATGTTAGTTCTTCAGTTTAGTCCTACATCTAATTGTTTTCAGAGCATCATTTGTGACATGGTCTTGTGTCATGACATAGAGTTGTGTTTTGCATGGTAAATTCTTTAGAACTATGAGTGCTTTGTTGGAACACTAGCTCCCGTCTTGCCATTTTTCTCCCTGAAGAACATTTTACAAGCATGATGCTTAACCATAAATCATTCTTTTTGTTGCATGATGCATAACTCAAAATTGCAGGATTGAGGAAAATAAATATATATAAGAACTCATCATCTGTGGGGCACCTCTGTGAGAAAGTATCTAAGCTATACCTAAAACACTAAAAATCGCTGGATGGTTACCAAAAACTGCTCTAATCTGGCTTCTTGTTGGGTATCCAATCAAGCTTCTTCCTCTATTTTGTCAGGGTATGCCCCCTCCACCCCAGGTTCATGCTTACTCCTGATAGGTTAGTCTTTTGTGATGTCATAATCTTCTCTCTTACGGAAAACATTATTTTGCAAGGTTGAGAAAGAAATAGAAGAGAGAAGAGAGATCTCCTTTCACAGGGTTGGAATATCTATGGTGCCCCAGTCAGTTTCAGGACATTGTTGCTTCCCATGGAGACTCTGAAGAGGTTGGTCCTATCCTTTTCCTTTCCTTGAATGAAGAATAGCAAAATGATAGTGTGAAGGAAAAACAACTGTGCTTTATTCTGATAATTAAAATGATGGCAAATCCACTAGTTTTAACATCTAAGTATCAATTTTTACACTGAAGATTTTTTCCTGTTAATCTTAAATTCTTAAATCACCACCAGAATGAATCTGGAGATAAAATTGTAACATACCGTCATCTTTTACAACCCCTTATCAAATATGAATGTAGCTTTCCTTTTGACCATTCCTTATTCTTGTGATGGCTCCACTTATGCTTCACAGCTGTTGATCTGGGTAGTATTGCTCAGATCTGTCTAGTTACAACTACAAGAAGCATTGTAGAGATGAAGTTGCTTTTTCTAAAGTGGATTTTGTGCTTGGTGAAATGCTTATGTTATAACTGTTAGATGTTGATTTTCAGAATGAAATTTCATAAGCATAGTAAAAAGACCTAAGCATAAGCATTGACTCAATGCTCTAATCTGCTACCCTAGAGTGGTAGGTGGTGGTGCTTTAATTCATGAATCAGCAAATTGAGAGCAAAAATTGCTGGCAATCTGCAAATTTGTTTCCCTCAATTTGCAAATTGATTTTAGCTAGTCTACAGATTCAAGATGATTTTTGATTTATCATATGATTTGCTGACACATACCATGCACTTCAGACACCCAAACACTTGGGTTGCCCATGTTGTCATGTGCTGCACACCACCCAAACACTGATGTGGATTTTTTATTAGATTTTGTTATTTTATTGTAAATTTATTTGGGAAAAATTCTGATTAGGTTCAGCTTTTTTTTTATAAAAAAAAAAAAGGCTTTTTAGAGATGTTTTAATAAAAACGCCACTACAAGTGAGTATGGGCAACTTCTACACTGGCGTTTATAAAACGTCGCAAAGTTATGGCGACGGCCGCATCCTCGACGTAATTTTAAAACGCCAGCAGATGTTTTGCCGGCATAGATATTTTAAAATAAAAAATATTATTTTTTATATTTTTTTAAAAATTTAGAAAATATTTTTTTTGAATATATAAAAATTAACATATGTCAATTGTCAAAAAAAAAAATTACACTGTTCCGGTCAACAGGCCGGACCACCGGTTAGGCCAAATTTGAAAATCGCGTCGGAGACAGTTTTCTAGAGAGTTTTGGAAATACATTTTGAAAGCTATATCGAAACATGAAGTTGGAATGTGTAGGTAGAATTATAGTTTGGAAATCATTCCAAACATCGCCTAAATTTTTGTATGTTCTACGCACAAGACTGAATTTATGTTGCTGTCAATTTCATTTGATTGACTATGTTGCATGCGAGATGTTGTTGATTTATTTTATTGCGTCAATTTCCATGCAGATTCTTGAAAGGGAGGAAGTTTGATATTAAGAAAACAAAGCACATGTGGGCTGAGATGCTTCAATGGAGGAAAGACTTTGGTGCTGACACTATCATGGAGGTAATTTCATCTGATGATTTTCCTCTTGTATTAGTCTCAAACTCCTGCCATAGCTTTGTAGTGCCAGTTTTTGATAGATTGACTTGCTCTTTCTCTCTTTTGGTGAGGTTTTTAACACAATTAAATAAATGGGTTAGTGCTTTTCTCAGCCTATCCACAAGCAAACGAGTAGAATATGTCAAGTTCTTGTTATGTCAAAATCAATCTCAATATGTTCTAGTACTCCTTTTATAGATTTCATAGATATTTTAAATTGAATCAAGAATGCGAGTGAATGTTCAATGAATGAAGTACTCATTACAGTACAATCGTAACATATCCATAATGATTACTTAATTGAAGTTACTAGCTATTTAAATGTTCGATTTGAACTTTCAAAGATTGTTTTTGTGGCGATTGCAAATAGGGTGCAACCTATTCCTCCACCACTATTAGATAGGATGGAAGTCATTGAACTGCCAAGATATACACCTGAAGAAAAGCTTAAAATAGCAATTCGACACCTCATAAATAAGGTACTTTGCGGCCTTTTTGGATTCTGCAATGTACTGAGTACTTAAGGTTGGGTATCATGTTATGGCCATATGCATTGCCTTTTAATTTGATGAAATATCAATAGAAGGTTGGGTATCATGCTGCCACTTCTTTTTTCTTTTCTTTTTTCACAATGGATTTCTCTTTTACTGGTTTAAAGATAAAATATGAACATTTGATGGGACAACTAAGCAGGCCCTTAGATTTTATTGTCATATGTTTACTGTTCTAAACCTTATGTAGGTATATATGTAACATAGTTTGTATACTTCTTTATATTAACTGAGTTTTATTGGTGACACCTATTATTAATTGATCACAAGGAAATTATTGACCCTACGCTGGTATTTAGCTGATTAGTGTTTCAATGAATTGTCCATTTCTGTTCATTAGCTTTCACTATGAAGTTAAAGCACATGCTTGGTGTTTCTGAATGTCACACTAATATGTTGATAATTGATGCAGATTGACTTGTCTTCCCACATTGTTAGGGTTTAATTGACTTTGAAGGTACTACTTTAACATGACTTTGAATGATTTGAAGAATACATGGTCTTTATTTCTATGAATTTATTTCCAGTCGTGTTGGTTATTTTATTCCTCTGCCAGGATTTGATAGAAGGTTAATATGTTGATAATTGATGCAGATTGACTTGTCTTCCCACATTTGATTTTTTTTGCATCTAGTATGTTGGGGCACCGGAGGACAACCTTAGCTTTGTCTCAGGATGTGTTGGTAAGTAATCCAAAATTACAAGTTTTAGTTGTTTTATTCAAAATATTTTTCCTATTGGTTTGAACGGTGATGGCTAAATTGGGATGCTTATTTTTTTTTTGTTTAAAAGTAAACTGGTAGCTATTCTAATGTACCAGTGTGGTTCTGGTTGGAAAATGGATCCTTTAACGAAAGAACTTTTGTTTATTTTTCCCATTTTGTTCTTGAAAAAGATTATTTATGAATTCTGTTTTTTAGACATTTCAAAAATTTCAGTGAATTGGGTTTCAGAAATTTTATGCAAATTTGTAGTACATATTTTCAAAATTTTAGATGTGGGTTTGTTTTTCCCATGCTTGCAAATTAGATTTTCAATCATTTGCTTGGATTTTAGGTGGGAAATGTTGTGTCGTGCTTAGTATCTGATATTTTTTGCTTTAGGTGAGCCACCAGTATAAAGTCAAAAAAAGTTTATGAAGTATTCATGAAGATACCACAACACTTGGTTTTGCAACTAACTGTTCCAAAAATAAGATTCACTGTGTAGCTAAGTGAATAGTATATATATATATATGTATACATGTATTGAAGATATCTGAGTGTGTGTAGTTTTTGGAACTTACATACCCAAGCAAAGAGCCACCAGAAGCAACTCTGTTTGTTGGCCTTCCCATCAAATACTATATATATACACAAAATTTAGGTGAGTTCTTTTGATTTGATGCTTTGTGATATCGGTCAAGATCATGGTGGCCATGTGTTCTGATAATTGACTTTCTCATTCATTTTGTTTGTTAATCTTTGTAATCTATCAAACCAATGTTTCAATTTGTGTATATATATATATAGATCCCTATGTTCTTTTTAGATTTCTCTTCTCTGTAATTCTCTTGCCTGAGATATTTAGCTTAGATGAAACATTTGATGAATGGTTTCAAATATCTGGTGAAAATGACCAAGAGGAGGTTGTTCAGCACCTTCATAAGGTAAGATCATTAGCTCTTAAATCTTGAGTGCTAATTTGCGATATTCTATCTAATTTGTGCTAATTTGATTACTTTTTAAATACACATGAGGGACTCTCTTTTCACTTGTCTTCTTCTTCCTTTTGACCAGCCTCTCTGTGTCTGCATCTGTTTCCTTTTTCATTTTAGGTATGAAAAACCCAATACTTATCTTTCTATATCTGTATATCTATTGTAATAATAGTAATTTTTGCATGTGGGTTTGTGTAATGCAGATGATATATTTGGGGGTAGATCTTTAATGGGTCGGAATCTTCTTCAAGCCCAGAAAGGTGCTTTTCAATTATACCCTTTTTAACCCATTGCTTTAATGGGTATTTTCCTTTGAATTTTTGTTTTGTTTTGTTTTGTTTTGGGGGTTTATAATGCATGTATCTGCTGGATTTATATGCTGAAAATTTCAGCAAAATATATGATGATTGAACATTAACATATGGTTAGATTAGATTCAGTAGTAAAAAAAAAGAAAGATGAATTTATTTACTTTGAGTACATAGCCTTGATTAGCCGACCGCACTTGATTCAGACACAATGTTTAGTTTGGTTTGATTCAATTTGCTTCAGTTATTGTTATATCAGATTAAAATTTAACTAGTATGGAGCTCATCCAACGAAATTGTCAATATTGTCTTTGAGCATTTTCATTTTCTGAGGCATCCAACCACAAAAATCCCTATTTGAATGGTAAAATGAAAACTTGAACTCAAATCAGTTGTTTGAATGGTTTGCTATGGACCTGAAAATTCATTGATATAAATGACTGAAATTAAACATCTTATGAAGGCTGTGCAGGAAAAAAGAAAAGGGAAACAAAATGTGAATAATATTTAGCTTCCATGTTATTTACGTTTCCCTTCAATTTTCTAGTGTCATGTTTCTTATTGGTTATATTATACATGATATTGGTGGCTAGTCCGAATTGTTTACACCTGTTGGTTATATCCTCTGTTAATGGTGCTCAGTGCAGTTTATGGCTGTAGAAAATTCTTTATCTTCAGTCAAAATGCTGCTTATCAAATCCCAGCAGTATTACAAAGTGTTCCTAGTTAAGTACCATAATTAGTACCATATGATTTAGCTCAGTAGTTTAGAAGTGCATACTGAGACTATACTTGTGTACGTGTATTTCTGATCACTTTGCTATAATAATATTCAGTTCTGTCGATTGTTGTAATTCTAGTACCTGTAAAAGCCTAGCATGTTGCTAAATATGTGCCATTGCATTTACAGTTGAAATTATCATTACCAAAAGTGCTTTCATGAAACAATGATCAGATCATTTCCTGTTGTGGTTCTTGTCTTTGAATGTTCTACTGATCTTTTTCAGTTCAACTGATTTTAGTTAAATCTCACAGAATTGTCACAATTTTAAAATAAATAAATAAATAAAGCTATCATGGTGTTTTCAAACGCCACTATAGTATAGTGTTAACGGTTATATTTTTAAAATAAAAAGAGTTATTGCGACGTTTTTAAAATGTCGCTAAAATAAGACTGACGTCATTGTAGTATTATAGAGCACATTTGGTGGCGTTTTAAAAAACGCCGCCTATACCAATATAGCGACGCTTTTTAAGAGTCATGAGCTATAGCGACGGCCGCATTTTCGACGTTTGATACTAAACGTCGCGAAAGGAATTAGTGGCGTTTTTGATATCTATAGCGGCGTTTTTTAAACGCCACTAAAAATCTAATTTCCAGCAGTGTAATGTAATAATGTTTAATTCTGTGTTCAAATTTCATCACCATTTGATTTGGGTATAGTAGTTAGACAGTTTTCCTTTAAGGCAATCAAGAACTTGTTTTGAATGGATATGCATGATTGGTCAATTTTGGTTACTTGATTTACTTGGTTTGTTGTAAACTGCAAGATGTTCAGTGGGTATATCATGTTACTTATGGTTCCAGAGACCTTTTTAACATGATTTACCAATTGGCCCAAGTATATATTTGAGGTTTCTTGGAAATCTAAGAAGGCTTTTCATTGTTTAAATGGCTAGAAAACCATTAAATCATGGAATTTTAAGCAACCCTGGGATGGGTCATGGAGGCCGGTGTGTTTCTTGTGTTTTTTTTTAGTTAAAATAATAAAATCCATCATGTTCACAATGTTCTTTTTTTCTAAATTATACTGAATCTTTGAAAGTAGAGGATGCCAACAAAGTCAAGAAAATTGTTAAAAGATAAAAAAATTTAAGTGTATTTCTAGGCATTGTTTAATTGAAGTAAAGATGCTATTCAAGAGTCTTTTGCAGATTACCGTTTGCATTACCATTTACCAGTGACCAATATTAATTCAAACTTTGAGTTGGTAGATGAATTGAGCTCCAAATGTAGTAGATTTTGCGGGAAAAAGTTTCAAAATTAGAAATTGACTAGCATGGGTAGAACTTAATGGTTGAATTAAAGTAGCTTAAAAACTGGATTAATTGATCAAAATTTTATTCCTATTTGGTGTTGGCTTGATGAATTCTTTTATGTCATTCTACTTGATGTGGAGCCATATTTTCTTCGAAAGCATTGGCTTACAGTCTTTGCTTTTGTTAGTTTTGGCCTTTCTCATGTTTCTAAGTACTTTAAATTGAACAAACAGCTAGTGCAGTGAAGCCAAAAAGTTTTTTGTGGGGTCACTTGTAAATTATAACATGAATGGCTGAAGTCTGTACCGCTTTGACATGGATTCATACAAACTGAGATTGAAGAGAAGGGATAAGTCACGGCATGAAGGTTGAATGAAGATTGAGGGGTTAAGGACCATTAATTATATAATGCTTTTTCAAGGTGTGAACCCTTTTCTTTGGTAGAGAAGAGTGAACCCAATTTGAGCTCTCATTGGGGTGTTTGTTTCATCTTTTCAAAGCTAACTTATAGCTTTTAGCTTTGAAAAATTTATTTTGGACTGTTTGGTTAAATTTATTTCAACACAGCTTCTGATTCTAACAGCTTATTTTAACTCAAAAAAACTGATTCTGAGAAGCTGCTCACCCCTTGCTTCTGATTATCAATTTCTGTTGTGGACATGTTAATTTATAGTTATACTCTTAGATTTTTTTTATTTTTTATTTTTTTTAAAAATAGAAAAATATCCAAATAGATTATAGATTATTATTATTATTTTTTATAAGAAATGTATACAAGTAGTAAATAATAAAAAATAAAAATTAATTGAAAAAACTATTTCACGGTTTATTTAACAAACACTACTCAGCAACTTAAGTCTATAATTCAACAGCTATACCATACAGATTAACAACTTCTGATTAAAGTCATAATATATAATCTGTTAAGCTATAATCTATAAGTTGTTTTAACAGCTATACCAAACAGGTGTTGAAGATTGGCTCAGATTTGCTGTCAACAATGGCTGGTTTGTTTGCTTTGTCAACAAAGGCTGCTGATTGAAGAGCTTGGTTCTCCCATTGCATCTATAAATAGGTAGTGAATTGGAGGAATTTAGTGTGGTGAATAAAAAAGAGAATACATAATAGAGAGAGACACAAAATAGAGTGTGTAATTCTTGTTCCAAATATAGTGAAATCCGCTGCCCGTGGACGTAAGAGATTTGCCGAACCATGTAATCCTTTGTGTGTTCTTGCTTGTGTGCTTATGTATGATTGTTTTCTGCTTCCTAGGCACAACAAATTGGTATCAGAGCATTGTTGTGCGAAAAACAGAGTGTTTTTCTATAAACTGAAAATTTCAAAGTTGTCGAAATCGAGTTTTCAGCATACCACGACGACCGCCTTGACGAGGAGTTCAGACCCAGAAAGACCAACCCACGAGGACACTTCACGAGCCCTCACGCGCTTGCTGAAGTTCTGCCGGAGACTCGCCAAAAAGTTCAGTCCGATGAAGAAGCAAAGGTTGAAGAAGTCAACCTATCCTAAAG